AGACCCGTGGAACACATTTATGAAAGGAGACACCTATATATGATGAAAGTGCCCTTTCTTTGACTAATGGCACACACTTGAGCTTCCTTGTGCTACTCAAGTCACTTGCAAATTTTCACCTCCTTTTCCATCAAAATGTGCACTATTCCAGCACACAAGCATCTCCAATACCAATGAGGATGGGAGAGAGTAATATAAAAAATGCCTTGTTTTCGATTATGTTAATCAAACTTTCAGGACTCAAATTGCTTGCCTTCAAAAGTCTGTCCAAAGTTCCAATTTTTAGGAGCAACATTGTAAGATGTCACCGTAAGCCCGTCGCTAGAGCTCACCTCAAAGGACAGGGGCTGGTTCTTAAGATCCACATTAATGTGCCAATTCTGACCCCAATTCCTACCCATTGGAAGCCATCCAGTTTTCGTGCCTTTAATTTTTATTGCAGCTATATCTCCAGCACCAGCCACATTGCTGATCAAGACTGAGATGAAGATACCCGAGCCATCAATTGTAAAACGAATCCCTCCCTCCTTTCTGCATTTGATCCTGCATAGTGACAAAGAAGAGAATGAACAATATCTCTTTCAAGAGTCCGGAAGTTAAGTGAATTTGCATTGCAGAAGTATCTCTACAGCATATTGCTGTAGCCCTCCTAATGCCTAGGCTAGTGGCATTTCTCTGGTCAGTCAGATAGTGAAGAATTGACAAAACATTTGTAATACCAGGGTTCAATTTCCCAGTAAGTAGGTAAAGGAAGCATATTCCAGGCGCAAAAAATTTTAACCATGAGCAGCATTATCAATCGAAGCTCTGGAAGAACCATATAAATGAATCTAAATAAAGGCAGAGTGCCCTAGAATTGGAGATCACATGTCCAAAAAGGAAAGCACGTCTCATTCTGAGGCATTACCAGATTAAGTTGCTTGTGTTGAGCAATGAATTGAAGAGATCAAACAACTAGAAAACTATAAATGGAGACTTATTGAGTTGTTGGATGTTGTGGCATTTTATTCTTTTAGAGGACTTCTGTAACTCTGCAGCACTCAATTTGCAGAGCTCATTACAGATAAATGGTATATCCTTATGCCATTAGACAGATAGGATGAACAGAAAGAAGCAATATCCAAAAACTTGATAATAAAGTTCCCAGATTGATAGCTCGAAACAAGCCAGAGTTCTCATGAGAACTGTTTTGTGGATATTAAAACAGAACAGGTACATAGTGAAATTATGGATCAAGCACATTTTCAGAGAAGCAAATTATTGAAAATGCAGATTGATGTTTGGAAACTATGAGACAAAATGAATTGAAGCCCCATTTAGTTCTTGAAAAATTCCCATTCGCAAAAATGAAACAGTTATAAAATTTTCAGGTTCTGTTTGCTTAATAATGTGTTGGTACATGAAAACTTTCTTCAGGAATTAAAAATTGTTATGATGTATTTGGTATGCCTTTTTAATAAATGCTTATATACTATTAATTGCCTTGATCGAAAGCTTCAATTTCCCTACACTTTCTAATCTTACTAATAAAAGCATTACATATATTAATTATTTCAAGGACTAGATTGAATATAGAAAGAGCATCTTCAAATTAATTGTGTTTTTTATGCCACTTTGTTATTTCATGTACTAATCGCTTAGTGTCTATTTTTGTATTTGACAATTCTTATAGCATTTTACATTGACGGCGCAAGCTTTAAGGAAGAGGAAAATTTCCTTGAAGCTTCTGGGAGCTGAAGACAAAGTTTCAGCCTTCAGAAAGGAAGTTCCCTTCAAGCTTTGTTTCTGAAGTCTCCACAGAGGGAGGGAGGGAGGGAGGGAGAGAGCAAGTGCTAATCGTCAAGAGTGTCTTCTTTGGTCACTTATTAATTATCAACTAACAGATCATGACGATTAATTTGGAGAACAAATGCAAAAGACAGATGTAAACATGTATTGTGAGGAGCGAGTTAGCAACATGTTTCGCTAACATCGTATGTTTTCAAATGGATAGAAAACACTTAACTTTCGGCCTAAGCATAACTTTAGAAAACAGTGTCCTCGCATTTTAAATGCAGTCTGCTTCCAAATTCAACCAAACACCACCCCTTGATGTGTTTTCTTTTCAAGCAAGAATGAAAACAACTATTTGGAGACTTTTCACACGCCAAACAGGCTGGGAACTCTCTCCAACCAACATACTACCTATTTTCATTGTGGAAATTCTGAAAAACAATCACAAACCGAACTCTCTAACCAGTGACGTAAGCAGGCAGAGAATAGAGGAAAAAAATTCTTTGCATCCAAAAACGGATCCTTTCAGTCAGTTATTCCATTAAACTACTTGGGTGATGAGAGCATTTCAATTTTCTGGTTTTCTGAAAGGAGGTATTATCACATAGACTACCAATAGAAAAGACATTTTCCAAAATAGATTTGTTTACTTTCTATTAATTAACTACTCATCCTTCCATAAACAAGGACTTCTTCAACAATTAATTTTTCCCAAAAAGACTGCTTTTTCTATTTAATTATGCATACAATAGCCACATTTTTAGAGCACTAGAGAATAACAAAAGGATGTTTTCACAAGTTATCTATCAGCATGAGATGTAAATTCCAATTTCTTGACAAACTTGCATGTCTAAACAAAATAAAATATAACGTCCATGAAAATGGAAAAACTATGGAAACATCAGATAAAATTTCAGCAAAAAGAGAATTAAATGGCTTTTTCAGACAAATGCATTCTTGGCTTCCAGTTCCCAAAAAAGCAAGTTTAATCCAAAGCAACCCTCTAGTTCCATCTAAGCCACTCACTATACATTAAAGATTCCAAGCGAAAAGTAGATATTAGATGGAACTGGAACAAGTAGAAATACATAATGTCATTAAGAACCCCCTACCATTGAAACATGAGACTTACGAAGATGGTAGAAGCTGACCTGAATGGTCCAACCTCATTCATAGGAATTACCTTTTAGCAGCAAATTGGTCGATGATGTTGTCATTTGAACTTAATCTAATCGCCAAAAAGATAAACCAGAGGGTCCTCTAGACTAACCTATTGTAACCAATATTTGGTCCTGACGAAGATGAACATCCGAGTAGAAGGGCACTTCTATAATCCAACTCCAACCCACCGTTAGTTACAGAATAGCATTAAATTAGCTAGAAACACACTTCCTAATTAACCCAAGATCGCCCTCGTCTAATTAAGTTTCCTCTCCTTTTCTTTCCCCTGAAAAAATATACGCCTCGCTATCAACTCACTACAGGCAGGATAGGGACCTCTCAGATATGCCAAAAGTTGGCCCATTTCGCAGGTTTACACCAAACAAAATCAAGAAAGATGACAAGAATACAGGAAAGAAAAGATGCGGTAATAATAACACCATTTGCAGGAGTAGCAGAGTCTCTAATCGCGGACGAAACAAATTTAGGAACTAAGCAAGCACGATTTCTGTTTTTCGTTTAGCTCTGTGTTCTCCTGAAGCAGACAGACTAATTAAGTGAAAATCAAGAACAAAAGTCCAGGCGTCGTACATCGTGCAAGCACAGATATGAAAGCGTCTTCTTTATTAGATTATTACCAATCTAGGACTACAAGGTCGATCCAAACGTAACAAGACCATTGAAATGTTTTCTCAAAGAAATAGGTTGTCGGACCAAGGCTTACCTGCGATACTGGACTGGCATGTTACCGGCCTTCCAGATGGCAATCTTCTCGAACGCCTCTATCGGGAGCACGAAATGCTTGTTCGGGGGGTTGCAGTGGCCGCCCCCGTCGGCGGCGAACCCGTAGTTCGGCGCGCAGAAGTTGGTGGCGGTGACGATCAGCGACGTCCCCGGGATGCACCACCGGAGGTCCTCGACGCACCGGAGCTCGAAGCACGCGCCGCAGATCTGGCCGCGCTCGAACAGGGGCTCGCTGAGCCCCGCGGTGGCCATCCCGTACCCGGCCCGCGCGAGGTCGCCGTAGCCGCACGCGCCGCCGACGGCGTCCCGGGGGTCGGCCGCGGCGTAGTAGGTGGCCCGGGCGGACCGCCACTCGGAGAGGGAGGAGGAGGAATGGGAGGGCGAGGAAGAGGACGACGACGACGCGATGGGGGTGTGGGACGCGGATGGGGACGCGAGGGCGAGGAAGAGCGCTAGGGTTTGGAGGATTAGAGCCGAAGGCGACATTGCTGGAGAGAGAGACAAGCAGAGAGACAACTACGGGGAAGCTTTTGATTTGATCCTAGGTTGATGTCTTCTTTGGCTTGTCGGACTCCATGGATGGACTTGCGTGCTCAGTGCTCGAGCTCACAGCTCACTGCTATGAGTGCCTCCGCTTTGCTTTTTTCTTTGCTTTTTTCTTTGCTTTCCCATTGAAAGTGAAAGCGCTTACTTCTTTTTCCAAAATTCGGGAAAGTTCTTCTCATTTCGCCCCCCTCAAGTTTGGCTCAATTCCATTTTTTGTCCCCTCCATTTTCAATTCATTTCGATTTAGCCCAGAACAGCAGACAGCCCACACGGACCTCGGATCTGTCCAGAGTAATCTTCTCATTTCTCTATCTAAATTCCCTTCCGATCGAACTGGCCTCCGCGTTTTCCGGCTAAAATAAAGTTTTGCTTCGATTACATGAGAGATGTTCTTATATGGGTTGAGGCGTCCTCGCCCGATCGACCGCACTCTGAGCGATTTTGGAGGCGAATGTGGAGGCATAAGTGGAACAAAATTTCGAGGAGGTGTGGCATGAATCAAACTTGGAGCGAATCTGAAAAATTTTTCCGGGAAATTTTTGCCGAGTGACTCTTGGTTCTCTTCTTCTTCTTTTCATGAAAGCTTTCTTTCTAACTTCTTTTGCAAGATGGGATGTCAGGATTCAATTGGGCTTGGACATCATTCGGTGTCAAGTTCTTGCCGGGCCCCGAAAATGAAAACAGACCAGATTTTCAAAGTAACTCCTGAATTTTGTCATTTCCGGGGCACCAGCACCACCTCTCCCTTCCCGAGTCCAAGTAGAAAGATGAAGAAATCACAAGAAAACTGCGAGACTTCTTCATTCGATTTATTGGTCCTCCTCTTATACAATTTATCTTTTTGCAGAAACAAGCACCACTAACTTGGGTAATCAAAAAGGAAGCAACTAGACATGAGGCAAATTAGGGAATACAGGGCATTTATAAGGAACCTACATATTTTAAACAGATTGGGGGGTGAAACAAAAGGCGAGGACAACAGACCAACAGATGCGATTCAAAGGCCCTGAAGAGCGCGCTGCGACGAGGACGCGGCACTACAAGCTAAGGCGTACTCTTCGTACTTCCCTTTCTTGGCCGATCGCCCCTAAGGGCTGCATCTCCTTTTCTGCAATACACCTTTTATAAGGCATGAATCCTCTTCCTTGTCTCTCTTGCCTTGTCATTAGTTCAGGGGCCGCTGACGTGTTGCTCGGTTTCGAAAGGAAACCGAGCTTTAGGTCAAAGCCACTATGGAACTCATTGGAAGTTACGCCATTCCCGGATTCCAAAATCCCATTTTTGTTGATGTCTGCGCAAGTAGATAGCTGAGCCACTTTATTGAGAAACGGCGAGAGAGAGATTGCCAAATTGCCATAAAGATTCAACCAAGGCGCTGAAGGAGCAGGACCAGCTTCCGTGTGATCGGTGGTTGTGTCCCGTGGCTGCACTAAGTGAAGTACCCGATTTGTTTTCGCAGACGATGTCGCGGATACAGTATCCTGAGAAAGAGGATCTTGAAGTTTCATTTCTTTCAATTCCGACTTGACGGCCGAAGAAGATTGCCAATGCGAATCTGTTACAGATACAGTCATGCCAAACAGTTTGAGGGTTCGGGAAGGCGCTTCCTCCACGGCACCTCCTGAGGTCTCACATCCCCTAGCATACAGCTCGAGTTTCTACAGTCCCAGAAACATGCCATAAGATAAAGAGTCTAAAAATGACACGCTGACCGCAAGGCTAATTAGCTCTATGTTTAGCATACCTCACTAGTGATTGGACCATTCTCCTTAGCTGACGGTTCAAAGAGTGACAGACTAGCACGGCAGGCCGCATCGCCCGAGGAAATCGGTGACAAGCTGCCACTGGGTGTGCTTGCACCAGAGGAACCCAAACCATCTGAGCCTAAAGTGGATAACACAGACATGGGCGATTGGTTCTCGAGTTCGGAGACGGAGAAATTCGGAGATCCAGACCTAATTGGCTGCTCCTGAGGCAAGCATTCCGTGTTGATCGGGTGAACCAAAAGCTTACGAGGGTAAGGATGCATCGGCTTTCGTTTTGGGCGCGGAGGAGGAATCTCGATGGGTTCCACCTTGCTATCGGTCGAGTCTTTACCGACCTGAGACACAGTGAAACAAGCAGAATTAGGACAGGATCGAGAATAGCAAAAACCATCCCTTCTATGACCATTTGAACACCTCAGGTCATAAAAGATCAGACTTACTTCAGTCAATGGGACACAGTTATTTTGGTAGAGAATGGGTACTGGAATAAGAGCAGTAAACCTTTGAGAAAAATTTCTGAGCATGGCTCCGAATTTGAACAGCAGTCTTGGTGCCCACATGTTCTGAACAGAAATGAAAATATTTATCTAGTGAACGAGAGAAATCAAAGAAATCAACAGTGAGAAGATAATTATTCCCGTTGATTACCTTCTATTCGACGCCATGCTCGACCGTACAATTTAAGAGCTTCGAGGAACCTTTTGTGCTCTTCCTCTGTCCATCTCTCTCTCTGCTTCGTGATGGTGTAAGGTTTTCTTACCTATCGATATCAAAGTGATGAGCAAATCGGATTGAACAGGGAAAAAAAATTGTAGCAAAAGAACCTAAAGATTGTCACAGGAGAAGAGGGATAGTAGACCTTGGGAGCATAGTCATTTGCACAAGAAAACTGCTCCTTTAGCGAGATACTGGTTATCGAGTGGAGGCTATCACTCAATGACATTTCGTTGCTTCCTACAATCATATTGCTCGAATGAGCACTACCACCTTGATCCTACATTAATAGCGATAAAGGTTAATGAACCCTGCAGCAGAATCATGAAAATCTGAAACTTAAAATAACGGAAGAGATCTTGCATTAAACAGATCAATCTCTACATTCACCATATCCTCTTCCCCAAGGAGTGATGAATCTTTTATTTCAATGAGCACCAGCGAGTGATGAATCTTTTTAGCGCATCACCAGCAGTGTTACGAAGAATCAGACTTGCTATATTTGGATGACACTCAAAGCACATGGATTGACCTTTAAGTGGAAATGTATCCATACGCCATAGAAACCCAATCAATTGAATACCTTTACCAGTGAATTTGGCAACAGGGGAAACTTATCAAATACAAAATGTATCTTCCAACCATAGCAGATTGGCCGTGTCCCTCAAAAAGCCAAAAGATTTTTACTGCACCGCGACGGAATGCACATTTTGTAGCCACCTCCATTTAAATCCCTCTCCCCCCCCCCCAAAAAAAAACAAAGAATCAGCAAAATCTTCTTGCACATCTCTGGCTACCAGAAATTTAGAAAAAAAAAATTGTCCAAAAATTGAGTTTCCTCGACTGTTTCGTGGATTTCTCTATAGTCCTGTGAATATAAAAGATTCTTACAAGACTATACTTTCCCTCATGAAAAATGGGTGCATGACAAAAACCATAATTCATAAGAATTGTCAATTCCCCAAGAAACGCTGAAACTTTCAGCCACGAAACTTGTTCGATGGTCATGCTCCATTGCAGAACACAGAGATAGATCAGCTTCACAAGTTAGATCTACCGTCTCGACGGATTTAGTGAAAAGGATCGTCGCTCTCTTCAAAAAAAAAAAGTTCCAAGTTTTTTTTTCTTTCTTGAAAAGAACAAACGTGAGAAATTGTACATCTCTTGGGAAAATCAACTGACTCGAGGGGGAACAAGAAAGCACGAAGAATTCAAAAACAAAAACCAAGTTACATGAACGAAGAACATGGGAGAAGAATCATGTCACGCTGCGAGCATCTATACCTGTACGGTCATATCGGTATCAACACACACCATGCAAGATCTCGTTTCTCCGACCCCCAACAGAGTCAAGAAGAACGCTTCTCCTCTGGACTTGCTCTGCGCTCGAATCGACCGGCTCTGTTCAACGACCGACCGATCTGGATCCCTTAAAACCGCCGCCGTCGCTCCTGTTCCGTCCGTACAGGCTCTCCTCCGGCCCAGTTCTCGAGCTCCGAACGACCGAAAAGAAACCACCCGCTTCGAAAATGGAGAAGCGCTCAATTCACGCCTCGGTTCGGGCGAACTGTTCACACCCAACAACATCAACTTCAGCTTTCACCCACCAAACAGAAAAAAAAAAAAAAAAAAAAAGAGAGGAAAAAAGGAAAAACGCAAAAGGGATTGCAGCATAAAGCAAATCAACCGGTTTCAGAAGCAGGAAACGCAATCACAACTTGCGGAGCAGCTTACATGAACTGAAAGGAGCACCGATTGGGAAGAAGCACCCCGCGCGCGCGTGGAAACCGTTCGAAACCCAGGAAGAAGAGAAGCAGAGGAGGACAGCTGAAGAAGCTACCGATCAGGAAGGCGAAAGAACCCAGAAAGAGAGACAGAGAGAGAGAGAGGGACTAGAAGCGAAGAGGAGGAGGAGGAGGAGGAGCTTGAATTGAAATACGTGCTCTTCGTGAGATCGAACTGGGATTTCTGCGAGAGATGGAGAGAAAGAAAGAGAGAGGCAGAGGGAGGGAGGGAGGGAGGGGGAGAGAGAGAGAGTCCGTGTGTTGTTTGGTTTGGTGATGATGGCCGAAAAGATAAAAAAGCAGAGGACGCCACGTCAGAGCCGGTTTTTCGCGGAAATATTTAAGTTTTGTGTTTTTTGTTTTTTTTTTGGATTTTTTTCCTTTCTCTCGTTTTCTCGCCCAGAAATGAACCCGAGAGAAGAACGCTCCAGAAACGGGGATGGAATCTTGTGGCTCACGTCGCGGAGGGGCTCGGACACGTGGCACTCCCTCGTCTCTCTCTCTGTGTTCCGTTTTTTATTGCGCAGCGTGTTAAATTCGGTGGGGGGAAGAAAAATTAGGGAGCATATGGACGCGCCCGACTCGCCCGCCGAAGCGGGGAGTGGGCGCCACTCGCCCTCTGGAGCTGCCACGTGTGGATAAACGGGAGCGGGATTGGCACTTGTGTGGATTGCAAGAGCCCCTCGCTCTTCCCCTTGCTTTCTCTCACACATGTATTGTATTGCCCAATCCCTTCCCCCCCCCCCCCTCCGGAAAAGGATGTTCAACGAAGTTTTCTTTATCGCAACTTTACACTTTTAAATTTGATATGGGAATGTGAAAATTACCATCTCTTACGCGATATGTTTGGTAATTAATCGATGTAATGAATGATATTGACCAGTGGCAAGAGCAAATATGTTGAATCCTCGATCCGAGTAATTTATTTATCTATGTGCATTTACTATCGCGGGAAAAACACGGCGAGCAAATTCCTGTTCTTGCCCTGAGAGGCTGAAATAGAAGTTTTTGATTATTTCATTCATCACTCGATAAGGTCATGTACAGATGTGACTCGGCGAATTTGTCCTCGTATTTTTTCAATAAACGGTTTCTTATTTATTGACCCGTGTAAATGACACCGTATGTAATTGACATCGTCTGTATTGAAAAAAAGAGAGGCGAAAGTTTCTTTCTTTAGAGTTGAGAGTCAGTGTTGCTAATTATAACTGAGCACCGCCGTGACTAATAAATTAAAAGATCCACTTCCCCTTAGCACCGTACCCACCCCCACGTAGGGATCTAGGTATTTACCGTGCACGTTGCACGTGAATTCACAACATCTCTATCAAAACGAACTCTACTAAATCTTCCAAAATAGAAAAATCGAAATCGACGTAAAGAATCTCCTCAATTAATGTACAATCATTCAGAAGCACGTAAAACGGAATAAAATACTATGTGAGTATATGCCGGAATAATGACTAATTAACCCCACGAGTACATGTTTACGATGCGAGAGCTTCCGTTTAAATCGGATTCGCCATCAATCAACGTCAACTGTAAACCGTGCATTTCCGGTACCATCGGGAGCCTTCCCCCGCGAGCTGACGATTTCAATCGAAGGCCAGAGCGCATTTAAAGGGCGCATGGCATCGAAGGCGAGTACGCCTCTATCCCCTACTCTCGCGCGACGACAATCCACGCGCCCAACCCCCCCACGAGAAAACAGGACGAGGGACGTCCAAGTTTGTCCCCCATTTTTTAACTCGTGAAATTCGATGATGTTTCTGACGCCGAGGAAGAAACAATTAAAATAAAATATCTGCAGCCCTTTAAAAAATAAATAAATAAATGAAAAAAAAAAAAGCAGAGAGAGGATAGTAGGCCAAGAGTTGTGGATGGAAAAGGGGTGGGGGAGATGAGGATGAGCCGGATGAGCTGGCCTCAGGTGACTTTCCCCCACCTTGCGCTTTTCTCCACGTCAGCGGGCCCACCCGCCGCCCTCCGCAATGGCCTCCCGCCACGTGTCATTTTTTTTTTTTTTAAAGAGAGAGAAAGCGACAGAGGGAGGGAGACAGGGGAACGAGGCGGATATGTTTTTGGATGGCTCTGGACCACTCGTGTTAAAACAATCCCGGAAAAATTCTGGCCACAAGCCCGCTCTCGTTAGGCGCTTTTTCGTGAGCTGTGATGCGCTTTTTCGCGAGCGGAAATTACACAAGCCTCCCCCCCCCACCCCCTAATCTTTCGATTGGCGCATGTACGTTCCCCCGAGGCTCTCTCGCCTGTGACACATTGATCCCGAACTTTCATTTTGTTCCGGTTATTAATCCCCCGTTATATGTGTTAAGATTGATATCTTGTATTCTGTTATCCGAGAGATTATGAGGCGGTTCCGAAAGGCCTCCTGACAACTGGACAGCACGGGGGCCGCCATAAGCGTTTTATGTTCAGTCATAGAATGATTTATATGGGAAAGCTAAATATTTTAGGCTATGTGAGCAATTTTATAATTTATGCCATGTAGGGTTTCGCTATATATATTTAGGGCGAAACGGGTCTCTAGGATAGAGGTAGGGGGTGAGAAAGAGTGGCTGTACACTTTTCTACGTTATTAGTGAAACGGATCTCTTCTCCCCGTTGACGTAGGTAGGTGGAACATCTCCCCTGCTGAACCACGTAAATTCTTGTATTGTGCGAATTTCCATTACTTTCTTGCATCGTTGATAGGATCGAATTTAGATATTCGACAGTGTGATTCCACGTCGCTTTGTAAAATAAAACTCTTTTCTGTCCTCGATTTCCCTGAATTAAGAATGAAAAAAAAAAAGGCACTCGAGGAAGAAGATAAATTAAACGGAATACCTATAACGGAATACGTGGATGGCAATAAGAAATAGATATTGATGGAAGTATTGATAGTTTAAAGAAAGTGTAAATAGGAAAACGGTTAGATATTAGAAATTGTGTTTTAAAATACTCAGTGCTGCAAAGAAAAATGATTGATTAGCTAGAAGTATTTAAAAAATGCATTAGGCTTCAGGTAATCATTTCCTTCCCCGCTCTAAAGACATCGCATCATTTCGTCTTGAATTTTTCTAAACATTCGTGTTAATTATTAATTAACCCTTTGGATATACATGAAGAGCAATCATTTTTGCCATTTGACCTGTTACTGTCGAGGCTCTTTCCCTTTTTATATACTCCGTGCTCGTTCTTTTTCTTGACATATGTTGTTTACTTCTATTTAAGTAGTTGTATTTTTGGTCAAAGTAAGTAATTGTATGGAAGCGACCTCGTTTTGGACACTCGTGTGGACTTTGGAGCATCCTAAAAACTTGTAGATCTTTCCTTTTTTAATGTCATCATTCGTATTTATCTTTCTATTATTAGTCCCCGAGTTAAATATAGATTTCTTTAATTTTCAATATATTTTTCATCATTTTTTACAACAATCAAGGATAAAAGAGAGATCTCTTTTAAATGAATGATTTGAGAATATACTTTTATTTTTCAAGTGCGTTGCATATGCTAACGGAAAAAGAAACGGAGAATTAGCGGCCACAGCAAAATGAAAGTTCCTACTGATATTGCGCAAGAGTCGAAATTTCGAGGGCAAACGCGTAATATCTTCAAATTTCAACGGGTTTTCTGTAATTTTTAATTCATTTTTGCGTTAATGTTACGAAAAACTCTAAACCGGTACACATGCGATAAATTTATCCCAAATTAAATTTTGGATTATCAAAAACCAAAAGCGATTAGCAAAGCAAAAGCGATTAGGCGGTGACAGGTGTCATGGGAACGTGGAAGGTTCCGGTCAACACTTTGAAACATGAGGCTCAAGATCTTTCCCTCGGATATTCTCTGTCTTTCATAAAAAGAGAAAAGGAAAAAGAAAAAACAATTCGCCCTTTTTTTCTCGCTTTTTCCTTTGTGGAGGGGTTCGTCCAGAACCACCCAATGCGATCGCGACACGTGCCCGACGGGCCAGACGCTTTTTGGTGCTTTTTTCCCGGGGGGTGCACGATTTGGTGGGTGGGGGGCCCCGGCGGGGCGATTTAGGGTTTACGTGCAGTCAACCGAGCACAGCGAAACGAGTGGCTGAGATTCGTCGTGCGCTTTCTGTCCTTTTTATTGAAGTTGTTAAATTTTTTTTTTTTAATCGAATGTGGTTGCGATTGTCAAAATTCCAACTAGACTCGAACGCTTTTTCAGCTAGACGTCAACGTCTACCTGCCCCGCGCGCTTTATCAGTGGGGCTTCGAGTTTTAATCAATGTCGGGCGGGTGTTCTTTTTCTTTTTTGGATTATTTTCCTCAGCGATTCCTCAAATTTCACGACTTGATGCTTGCGCGAGTTTTATTGCGGAGAACAAAGGTCGAAATATACGTGTGTCGCAACAGATGAATGCAAAGCGAAGGGATGGAGGCGGGCACGTGTCTGCCTCTGTAGGCCGCGTTGAAATTTCTATTCCGTTTTGTCTTTTTCTTGCGCTCTCTCTCCTCTGCAATCGCGAAGCCACGTGGAATCTGTGGGGCCCCGCTCCCGAAGCTACGGGACCGGGGGCCGGAGCCCGGGCCGTAGGTTTTATGGGCTTTGGATTGGGTACTCGAGTCGAATTGACTTCTCCGTAGGATCTTACGAGGGATCGTCATTGAGTTGAGTCTATTGATAACATGGACAATGAAAATCAATTCATCTTCATCCTGGCCAGGCCATGAACATCGAACGAGTCCCGAGTCGGCATGCTTCGGAGTCCTTCATGCGACCGAACTCTAAATTATCTATCTTACGATGGTCGAATGGCATCTCGAGTCGACTTTTGTGAATTGGGTTGGTCCGCTTCTCTGATTCAGTCGTAGGAGGATTTCGCCTTTTCTGATTGCATACTAAAACTCAATTATTCACGTTACGCGTCCACGTACTATGGGTGTGTTTGGTTCAGCTTTACAAATGGGTATTGGGAAAATGCAAATTGTGTTTGATAAAAAAAATCATTTGTTAAGCTACTTTGACCTAAGTAGTATTTGGAAAAAAAAAAAAAAGATTGCAAAGGGCTTTGGGGTTTGATTTTTCTTTTTTTTATTAAAAAAACTCAAACCCTTCACCGGCTCTAAGCGGGGAAAGGCTAAGGCCACCAGGGTTGCGCGACCCCAAGCAACGAGGCCTGAGGTTGCGCAACCCAGGCAGCTGTAGTTAGGGTCGCACGACCTCGCCGGCCCCTCACCAGCTACTTGCTAGCCCTTTGTTGGCTCGATCTAGCCTCATCGGTCGCCCTCGCGCAATGAAGATGAACAATCACAATAGGGGCAAAACCGAAAAATTAGAGAATTAGTGAGGATAATTTGGGAAAAAAAGGCCAGGCGACCCTCGGCGGGGGTCGCATGGCCGCACGACTCCAAAGCGCCGTCGCCCGAGGTTGCGCGACTCAGCGGCGGCCGTCGCCCGGGTCGCGCGACCTCAGCGGCCGTTGCCCCGGCTCGGGCGACCGCCGCGGCGGCGGATCTGGCTCGCCGGGGGTCTGGCGACCTCCGGCGATGGGTAGGTTTTGTTTTTTTTTTTAATAAATAAGATAATTCTCAAAGTGCATTTGCAAAAAAAATTCACCAAACACTATATTTTGCCTAAAGTAGCTTTACAAAATATTTTTACCAAACACCATTTGCATTTCCCCAATGGGCTTTCACCCAAAGGTATTTGCATTCCCCCAAGTAGCATTTTCAAAGTTGAACCAAACAGGCCCTAAATAGCCCAGCATTTCTCCAAGGGGCTTTAGAGGTTGAAAGTCCCTTGGGAAAACTGGACTAAAGACACTTTATTTAGAGCAACTCCAATGTTCTATCTCGGATCTTGTTTTTCGTTGGATTCCATTCCTCCTTCTCCTCTTGACCCATTACCAAAACCATGGAAGCTGCGCAACTTGTTTCTCCACTGACCACGGATTTGCCTACTTCATATGCCAAGAAAATGGAGAGCGATACCCTCTGCTCGATATGAAAAGCCTTGTTATCGAGCGTTCTCGAACACTTGTGGAGCACGTAGGATAAGAAATGCTACGGCTTTCAAAACATTAATTCGACGTAACGCTGGAAAAATTAACACGCCGAAAGCTGCAAATTCTCTTTGTTCGGTTGATTAAGAAGCTTTTGCGCTACTAACGGGCACAACAGGGCCACGCCTGAAGCTAATCTTGGGCTGGGCTTGGAGGCTTTTTTTATCTTCGCTCTCTTGGATTGGATCGTTCCACCTACCTTGCAATCATTTTCAGCTCTTCCCCCTTTCTTTTTCTTTCTCTTTCTCTTGTCGGGTTAATCGGAGCATGCTACGAATTTCCATCAATGGGACTTTGCCGGGTGTAAAGGAATGCGCGGATTAGGCTATTAAGGAGCAGTGGTGCTTTTAATCAATAGTTCTTCTACTTAGATGCCGAGAATCCACTGTCTTGTTTGAAAGAACGATGAATCCGCTTCTTTCGGTGTTATCTTCGACTTTTGACGTACTTCTTGATATTATATGGCTGTGGAAGTTTACTTTTGAAAGAGCGCTATTCAGCCTTGTCGGGTGGAAAAAGAGAATTCGAAACCCGAAAGGAGGCACCTTTTTTCTTCTAAGAACATAATCTCTACGGTGAATGTTTTAAAAGTGACTTTTATTAAATATTTGGGTTCCCAATCTTGGTCATGGACTTCCTTGGAGAATAAGTTTATTCTCCTCGCCTTTTTCCATAGTTATTCATTGTTCCTATTCGTGCTTTTTTTCCTTCTTATATATTAGTCAATACGCAACTACACATTCTAGAATAACTTTTTATCTTGACTTGTGAATGGCTAGATGAGAATATCATTTCTTTTACCTGACCAAGAAAAAACCTATCATACATGAATTTAAAATTGTGGAGAGAGAGAGAGAGAGAGAGAGAGAGAGAGAGAGAGAGAGAGAGAGAGAGAGAGAGAGAGAGAGAGAGAGAGAGAGAGAGAGAGTGATGCGTGATGAGGATGTATAAGACTTTATAAAGAAGATGATTACTAGCTAGGCATCAAGTAACTCGCTATTAGCTAAAGATCAATATCGAGATAAATGAAGTTCACCATCAAAGGTTAACGGAACACCACCAGGCAAAGATAAAAGACTTTGGGATAGATAAAGTTCACTACCAAAGTTTGAAGTAATACCACCAGTCAAGGATAAAGAATTTTTGGTTCACCACCAAAGGAATTAGATAAAGAACCCAAAATAGAAATTCGCTTACTTGAGAAAAATCTCATATATTTTATCAAATTCATGTCTTGTTCATACAAAATGAGATGGCACCTTTATTTGTTGATGGATTCTAAAATGACTCTTAGGATTCTAAAAAAACAGAACGACCTACATAATTTTGACTCTTCAAAGCAACAACACACTACACTTAAGACTCATAGAACTAGGACTTGTAACCGCCAATACTATTAAGATGCATAATAAGTAGGATTAAATGCATTTAACTAGGACCATATGTATAATAATTTGGATTAGACTCTCTAAATTCGTCAACTAGTCCTGGAAGCCGAATAGCTACATTGGAAGATCAACCGATAGTGATGGAAATCGATTAAAACGGCCTCCAATTGCTAGATAGTCAATTAGGAGCCTCAAAGTTGGTAACAAACTTGTTAATCGACATCTCGGTAGTCGATCGACAATCATGAAATCGACAACTATCCTACAGAATTTGACATTTTCAACCTCGAACCCATCAAAATCAAATTGTAGCTGAAATCGGCCTTTACTTGCAGTAGTAAGGATCGGTCTGGATCAATCGACGGGACCTGAATCGAACTCGGGAGTTGTTCGGACAAAACCCGATGCTCCTGCATCAGAGAGCGAGTTGGTTTGTCATTTAATTACTCTAAAGCTTCATGGGCTTTTCATTTTCATGTTTGGTCACCAAATTATTAATGTTAAATGTAATAGCACGCACGGGAATTACACAACGAATTGGAAACCAGTGACAAAGAAAATGAGTGATAGAGCAAAAAAACAGCAAAGTTATTATGTAATCAAGCATCCACAAAAACTTTGGATATAGAAAACGAGCTAATTCCAAAGGCTCGCTAGGGAACCGAATCGGCTCGAATTAAACAAGCAGGCTTGATTTTTAAAGGCTAGTACTTTAAACCCCCTCTTTCATGATTTGATCCATGCTTTAGCCTTGTGTTTTCTTCCTTCCTTCCTTTTTTAATTTTTTTATTTGTACATTTTGGGGTTTTAACGAAGTAACTTTTAACGTAAGACGTTGGGGGTTGTCTGAAAATGGGGACTAATTTAATTAGCGAAGACCAAAAGGGGGCGCGCGATCTACACGCCCCGTCCCGAGGCCAGCGGATCTGGACAACCGGTGGGCTGGGCGTCATATTCGCCTGCATATTCTCTCTCTCTCTCCCACCTCTGTCTCTGTCCACGCCACCGCCGAAACAGCAACGGCCGAGATTGGCTACACACTTGTTGTTCTCCTCGCCGCTAATCTGTCTGTCACTTTTATATCATCTTTCGTTCCACAGCCTTCACTCATCTCCAAGCCCCGATCGACTCTCGCTCCCTCCTCCTCCTCCTCACCACCACCACCACCACCACCACCTTCTCCTCCTCAACACTCTCTCTTCCAAATTCATCTCTCTTTCGTCCAGATCCGGAGCTCTTTCGCTAGTCGAAAATGGCCGCCGCCGCTGCCACCCTAAGCGCCCCCGACGCCGAGAAGCTCTCCCAGCTCAAATCGGCCGTCTCCGGCCTCGGCCAAATCAGGTTCCCACCAGCTCTCTCTCTCTCCCCCCGCGCGCGCGCGTTTGTGTTTCTGTGCGTTCGCGGCATGTGCTTTGTTTGTGATCCGGCGGAAGACGTTTGAGCGCGCGCGGTCCGTCTCTTCTTCCGGGGTGGTTTTGCGTCGGTTGATTCGCGAGAGGGAGTTTTGTTTGGCTGTTGAATTCTAGAAAGATCGGTTTCTGGTCCAGTGCGTGTCGGGAGCGTTCGTTCCGGATCTCACTCTGCTTCGTTTTGGTTCTGTTTTGCAGCGAGAGCGAGAAGAACGGATTCATCAACCTCGTGTCCCGCTATCTCAGGTTAGGTGCAACTTGTTGATAGCCCCATTTTTTGTCATGTTTCCTTCGATTTGAAAGCTGAATTTATCAACATTTCAAGCGAGATGGAGCTCTCTTTTCTCTTTTCCTTTTCTTTTTTGTCTCTGTAAATGCTTAGAGTTAATAGTTTGTTTGGTTTCTTTGCTTGTTTCGAATTTTCAGTGGCGAAGCTCAATATGTTGAATGGAGCAAGATCCAGACGCCCACTGACGAAATTGTCGTCCCCTATGATAGCTTGGCGCCCACTCCCGGTAACTTTACCTGCTCGTGATCCATTTTCGATTTGCACGACATTGCAAAACTTTCCATGCGGTGTAGCTCGATTTTGTGGTCGCCAGATCTTATTCTTTTTCTCTGCCAATAAGATCACGGTTCCTAAAATTGTGCAGATCCTGCGACCACCAAGAGCCTTTTGGACAAACTTGTTGTGTTGAAGCTCAATGGTGGTTTGGGAACTACGATGGGTTGTACTGGTCCGAAGTATGCCTTTTGATCTTATATTTCATATCTTCTCATCTTCTTTTAGTTTGATGGATCTCATTGGTCAACTACGGATGCTTTGTTTTGTTATTGCTGTAGAATTGGGATAAGTAATTCTAGGATAATGTATTTGCACCGGTAGGACATGTAAATCATGCCAACTGCTCTCTTCCGAACAATATTGCTATTTGCAATTTGATTTTAGTCCATACACGCAACATGAGGCAGTACCATACCTAGTTGAGCATGTCTTGAAGGGATGCAAGGTGCATGCCTCTTTTTTCCTCCTAGAGCCTCCAAAGAACTTTTGAAATCTGTAAATTCTTATAACTTGACCTGCAAGTAATGTTGACGAGGCAGATTCGAAAATGCAACAATTGGCTCCTCTTTCTATTCTCACTTCTGTTGTGCAAAAATTTACTTTATCGAGGGATCCGTTTGGTATCTAGACGACTTTTCCTTTTTTTTTTTTTTTCTATTAAAGCGAGGGAATATTGGAAGAAAAGAATAAAGTGCAAAGGATTTGTAGATAGAGGAAAAGAAAAAGAGTAGAAAGAAGAGAAAGCAAGAATATTCTTGCTTGATCTAAGAAACCACCACTTTGACAGAATAAATCAAGTCGAATCGAAGAGGTTGATCAAAACTTTTGAGATCTTCAAAAAATTTCGTCACTTTTCTTCTTGCCAAATAGTCTAAATAATAAGAAAAACGAGCCTTCCGGAGAGGCAAGTGAAGTTGGTGAGTGGCTAGGAGATTTCTCTGCTCCGATAGCTAGTTACTCATCTGGTATATCTGAGCTAAAAAATTTTGCATGGCAGATAATTTTGCCTCTGAAGTACCAGCACAAAAGAAATCATTATTTTTGGCAAAGTTTTAATCACCTTGTTTTGAGATCCATGACCTCACTGACTTGATCTGTGCTTCCTTGATCTTATTTAGTTGTAACATTTAGTAAGGCTGGAAATGTAGCTTCCTTGGAACTTTTACCATGTTAACTTGGGTGTCTATGTTTTATAAGCTGCCTATTTGTTAATTCGCATGTTTCTATTGCGATGTAGATCTGTCATAGAAGTACGCGATGGATTGACTTTTCTTGACCTTATAGTTATCCAAATCGAGGTACTAATTTTTAATTTTCCATGTGGTGCATGTGTTTCTTTAGCTCTATTCCTTCTGATCAAATCTTCCTTCTGTTCATGTAGAATCTGAACACTAGATATGGGTCCAGTGTTCCCCTGCTTCTGATGAACTCTTTTAACACCCATGATGATACGTCGAAGGTGAGCAGCTTTCACCCTACCTCTTTGTTGATAGTTTAGTTATGTTGATCGGTAATTGACACATCTCCCTCGTTGTAGATTGTTGAAAAATATGCCAACTCAAATATCGAGATTCATACTTTTAATCAGGTTTGTGATGCAAAATATTGGTTAGCTGCTTAGTATCTACTTATGAGTTTATAGTAGAATTGACTAAGTCAATTATATCTCGATTGTCTTAATTGAATTATGTGCAGAGCCAGTATCCCCGTTTGGTTGTTGATGATTTTACGCCTCTGCCTTGCAAAGGACAGACCGGAAAAGATGGATGGTAAAGTTTTGGTTAAACATCAAGCCTAAGGACTTTAGTTTTCATGATCGTGATGCTTTCTTCATTAAATTTTTGGGACCATTTTTGCATCAAAATGATTTTGCTTTAAGATCGGTCATTTGATAAAAGAGGCTGTCATTGTAGCTCGCTGTATCTAGTCATTAGTCCTTTGGAATTCCACCTTTACGATTTTATGAAACTTGGGAAGAATGCATGCCGGCTTGAGCAAATTGAAACGATGCATGAAGTTATTTGCCACCAATATCTGGCCCTACTAGACATGACAGTTGAACTTGACTTTTGATCTTTTCGACAATAATTTCCGACTAATCACTATCTCTTCATGCTTTTGTGCTTTTTTATACTTTTTAATAGACAGAATTCTACCATCTTCATTTGTCATAAACTTTTAATGGAAAATCTTTGACGTTACCTTTCTGCCATCTCAAATGCTCTACATAGGTATCCACCTGGTCATGGTGACGTATTCGCATCCTTAATGAACAGTGGCAAACTTGATGCTTTGCTCTCGCAGGTTTTCTTTTATCACTATCAGCATTAGTACATTCCTCTTAGTTTCGCTTTTTCGTTTACTTATCCCCTTTTCTCTCACTTTTCATGTTTACAGGGCAAGGAATATGTTTTTGTTGCCAACTCAGATAACTTGGGTGCTATTGTTGACCTGAGTATCCTTCTATTCTTAGTTTCTTCTGATACTGTGGTTTCTGGATTTTAATCACATGGTCTTTGTACTTCCCGAGTTTAGTTTGACAATTGGGCCCATTGATAATTTTTTGTTGTTCTGTGGACCTTAACTGAATTGCATAGAGATCTTAAATCATTTGATGACAAACAAGAACGAGTACTGTATGGAGGTATATGAGGAGCATTGTGGTGAAAAACTCTTATAATAGATAGGCATTTGTATTAAATTGCTCACAATTTTGCAGGTTACTCCAAAGACCTTAGCTGATGTGAAGGGTGGTACCCTCATTTCTTATGAGGGAAAGGTTCAAGTAAGTAACATCATTTTCTTTGTTAGTTATTCCTGCGAGATAGCTCTCTTTTGTTCAAATTATGACACAGGCTACAAAGTTCCCTAGAATACATTAAACGTGCAATTCTTTCTGATGGTTAAGATAACTAGAGTCTCAACAAACTTACATTTCCCACCAAATCTGAAAGTGGAACCTTATTTGATTTTGACATCTCAGAGATTCCGTCCATGGATATTTTTCAGATTAATTCGGTGCCACGATATTTATGTATTATTCCTTCAATATCTGTAACTTCTTAAATTCCGCTCAGAACTGACTTTATTTATCCTAGCTTTCATAACACTGGATGGACATGGGTTTGGCAGTAATGCAATGCTCTAAGAGAGAAACTTACATTCTGCTAAAATCAAAACTTTTACATCTTTGTAATATTTTTTGTTTCAATAGTCAATAGAACATGTTATTTCACAGAAAAATCACAGACGTGTGATCATAAGCTGGATTTACACTAAAACTGAAAGTCCAAGGGGACAAGGGATTCATGACTGACATACTTCTGTTACTTATGGCAGCTCTTGGAAATTGCACAGGTCCCTGATGAACATGTGAGCGATCCTTTCTCCCCTTTTCCTTTATTTCCATGGTCTGAAGCATGCATTGGCTCTTTCAGAATTTGTACGTCTACTACGATTCCATTGCAATTTTTTTCTTGATCTTTTATTGAGATTACATGGGAATTAAGGGAGTCATAGTGGTACTTAAGCTACGTAACAGCCCACAGGGAAATTGGTACCCTCGTTCTGGTGACATTAATTTGTTTTAAGATGATTTAGTTGGTACACTAGTTCCCTCTGTGCTACCTCTAACATGTCAATGCGAAGGCCAACAGCATACGTGGCTGCCATCTTCAAATGTTGTCAATGACTCCTGCTTGTCGGCATCTCCTAGGTAGATATTGACCTATCTCTGAGATCATGGCATTATCCAGGTGACAGCCTTGAGACGTTTTACTGGCTCTTATGATGACTTTCTCTTTCTTAGCCAAGAAACTATAAATCCTGAGATCAGCATCACACAATGTGAAATGGTTTTATACATACGCATATGTCAGTTGATAAGCAGTCTCAAATCTAAAAACGTGTAAGGTACAAACAGTTTTACTGCTTTGTATAAGTTCATACAAACAGGGTACTGCTTTTCTGCAGTTTTGAGTTCCTTCTTTTGTCAACTCATTCTCAAGTTCAATGCTGACATGTTATGTTTCATTTGCTTGATGCAGGTCAATGAGTTCAAATCAATTGAGAAGTTCAAGATTTTCAATACAAACAATTTGTAAGTCATGCTATCTTTTGTGTATTCTGCAGACATGGAAGCGAGTTCTTGGCGTTACATGTATGTAATTACAGTGAGGCAAGCGCTGACATGACACATGCAGGTGGGTAAACTTAAAGGCAATTAAAAGGCTTGTGGAAGCTGAAGCTCTTAAGATGGAGATCATTCCTAATCCAAAGGTACATAATACTAGATCCTGCTCCTCTCTCTTTGCACAAATAATTGCAAGATGCTGCCTGTATAGACTGGGGACCTTGTTTTGGATGTTTCTTAATTCCAGGAAGTGGATGGAATTAAAGTTCTTCAATTAGAAACTGCAGCTGGTGCAGCAATCAAGGTATTATTCTTTGCCTGACTTTTCGTTAAAAAAGTCTGTATTTGAAATTTTATCTTTTTAAGTTTGTGTGTCTCTTCTTGCATCAGTTCTTTGATAATGCTATCGGCATCAATGTACCTCGGTCGAGATTCCTCCCGGTGAAGGCGACTTCAGATTTGCTTCTTGTTCAGGTTAGTATCTTGTTCTAGTCCGTATTAATTTTTTTTATTTAAAGAAATAGCATTAATAAATGATGGAGCTCATGTAGTGCATCTCTTACTGTCTTACAGTCAGATCTATATACTCTGGAAGATGGTTTTGTTATCCGAAACAAGGCTAGAACAAATCCCTCGAATCCTTCAATTGAATTGGGCCCTGAGTTTAAGAAGGTGAAGATTTACTTGCAGAGATATTTCCATCACATGTCTTTTGGGATAATGACTGACTTGTTATGACGTCTGTAGGTTGGCAATTTCTTGAGCAGATTCAAGTCAATTCCTAGCATTATCGAGCTCATTAGCCTGAAGGTGTCTGGTGATGTCTGGTTTGGTGCTGGCATTACTCTCAAGGTAATTGGTTTGTCTTGGATGCTGTAAGTTCATTCATTTCGATTAATATGTGTTCACAACATATTTAACCTAATTTCTTTCCTTGCTCAACCCACGAGCTGCCAATTTCCTCCACCTCATTTACGCTTCTCTCTCCCTGATCGTTTGTCGTACTTCCCTGAAACCAGATGTCCATATGTGCATCTGGTGATGTCAATCATGGTTTGGTAAATTTCGCCTTGACAAAAAGCTAATACTCCCTATTTCATGTAGGGAAAGGTGACCATTGCCGCAAAACCCGGGGTTAAGTTGGATATTCCTGATGGGGCAGTGCTGGAAAACAAGGTAGAAAATAATGGAGTCTACGTCTTTATTCTTGAGGATGTCATTATCCGTGTCTTAACTGTTAAAACTTTTTCTTGTGCAGGAAATCAGTGGCCCTGAGGACCTCTAAAGGCACTACTTGGTTTTCCAGAATGAAATATATTGCCAGTTGTATCTGATCTTGTCCTGGAGATCCTGAATTTGTTGGTGTAATCTTTACATATTTGGGTAGGTAAATAAGTGGGCAACTTGGTTTGAAGCATGTCAACCCAAGCCTTGTGAAGGCGAGAATTTAACAATTTTGCTTGTTTGACAAGAGAGCGAGATATGCTGCTAAATCGGTGAGTTCATTCAAACCAACAGAGTCTTGTGCCGGTGTGCTCTGTCTTCCGTACAAGTTTTCTTGAATGCCAAATCCTGCGAGTCGGTCTAATGTTACAGATTCTGGTACTCTTATCAGACATTTCAGCAGCATTTTTCCAAAAACATATAAAAAAAATATCAAATAAAGAAGTGCTCATGCCACGCCTGTTCTGAAAGGTTACCATACCAGTCTGCTAGTTTGTGCGTGGGAATTTACTGGTGCAACTGATCCATTTGTCCGAACATGCATTTAGTGTTTCAATTTATAGCGTGCCAAATTAATTTAACAAGTGATTGAGGCAAATTCTTATTGGATGCTCGAACGTCGTTCACTTGCATAGAGTTTCTTGTGTCATCTTACTAATTGATTTAGCGAATGAGACGCCGTATTTTAAGCATTGTGCTTTTTAGTTAGTGCCTTGTTTCTTCGGTAATTGGCGGGTCTATTCTAATAATCTGGAAATGCCGATTATTAGTTCTCTAAAACGACTCGTTTGCTTATCTGTCTTAGCATATTGATCTCAGACTGCCTAGATACGCATCTCGATCTAGTTCTTTATAAGCAAAACGCATTCTTCACATGCACCGAAAGACCCGTCCCGATCCAGACAGAATGTTCAAGGTAATAACTCTATAAGGCAGTTCTCTATTCATAGATCAAGTCCTGAGTTCTTTTTCATTTGATATGTGAGATGTTACGTTGCCTGGCCCTAGATCCTCTGCGGGCGTGTCCACCACGAGTGTCCCCAAACAAGGGGTTAGTGGTCACAACGTTGACTTCGATGTGGCCTCCACCAACCCGGTGTCTTCGGGCCAATTTTATCTATTGTGATCTGGGGGTGCTGTTTTCGCGGCTTATAGACACAGCGTGTCATGTTGACATGGTGTGATTGAGTCAATCAAGCTTTACCATTTCGTCAACATAATAGTCACCAAGTGTTTTTTAGTGGCATGATTGGATCGGTGATATCACATTGGCACATGAGGAGAGAAAAGAACGTGAGATACTGCCTTTCTTTTTCCACTGCAACAGCCAAAACAAAATGAGGCTATAATAGGGAAGATCACGGGTTGTGAGGTTTACTCTTGTATGCACTCAACATGAAAGGGAAAGATTAGAGAAACTTGACGTGGGCCTAAACTCGTCCCTAACAGCCACGCCCTTGATATGCCAATGCTAGTCCAATGATGAGTCGTTCACGGAATAGAGGAAAAGAGAGAATGCGGACTAGTAGGGTCGGCAGCGAAATGAGCGCAGGCGACGCAATGCGACGGAGAAAAATGGGCATGGAGGAGCAACTTTAGATACCTTTTTATTGGCTGTAATAATGTCTTTTGGATATTTTATGGACAGGCGTCGGGTGAATTTGTCCGGTCAGGTGGATTTTACATGACGTCAATGCTGACATCCCACGAGCCCTCTTTGCGCAATCGGCCTGGGAGTCCGTCTTATTCTCCACCATTGCCATCGTCTAGGGTTTCCTTTCTTTGGCTTCTTATTTTGCCCTGAAAATTGCATGTTAGGTGGGTCATGCATCATCCTTCCCAACGATACACATACGAATCAAGTTTTTACAAGACGTGAAATTTGGACAAGCTTCAAGTTTCGAGAGGTTCCATAAGGGCAATCGGGCCTAGTATATGGTACGGATATGATTTTGAACTCTATGTTTACTTCGCACTTGAATCGATTGTTAGGCATGGGGCTGTAAACTTGAGCGGGCTATTAAAATTAATCGAAACTAATCACATCAAAACGCGTGTTCTTTTATTGAAAGATAACTCATTGTATTAAACGGGACAACGACAGATCCTGATTGGAAGGAAAATTAGTGAGGGTGCAAGAAAATTACTCAATACAATAAGAATGTTGATCCCTTGAAAGTTAAGGTCATATGTATTATTTGGGTAAAAGCCGCCAAAAACCCTAAACTATGCCTACTATGACATATTTATCCTATACTTTTTTTTTGACACCAAAATCCCCAAACTTGTATAATGTGACACATTTACCCAAAACTTCTATCTATGTGACACATTTACCCCAAAAATTTGGTGTCACAGAAAAAAAGTTTGGCGCTTTTGGTGTCACAAAAAAAAGTTGGGGTAAATGTGTCAGAGGTATAAGTTAGAGGTTTTTGGTGTCACAGAAAAAAATTTGGAATATATGTGTCACATGGGTACATATTAGGAGTTTTTGGTGTCACAAAAAAAAAACTTAGGGTAAATGTGTCACATAAGGCAAAGTTTGGGGTATTTTGTGGATTTTTCCCTTATTTTTATTTGTAATCCTTAAAATCAAATTGTTACTATACGTAGAAGAGAATTTACTCCTTGGTTGGAACTTTTAAATAGACGATCGTATAGGGCATGAGCACACAGTCATCATTTCAAGCTACCAAATTCTAACAAATGTGTTATCAGGATAAGGTAAGGATGTATAGTTCTCGTTCATTTCGCATTAGGATATAATGGATATACATGTCCAAAAATATTTGGTGATATCCACATCAAAACGTTGCATACTTAATTATAACTGTGATGATTGGTTAAAAGGAAATGATAGATAAAACTCTATTGAGCGTTTGATTCGCTTGATCCAATTTTAACTTGTAACAATTTTCTAAACTTATTGCATTAATATCAATTCAGTTCTAAACCTTTTAATTGGGCCAATTGAGTCATAAACTTTTTCTTGTTTTGCCAATTGAGTTCATCTAGCCATTTTTTGATTGGAAATCATTGACGTGGACGCCGGCCGTTCTACGTGGCATGGTCGATGTAGAATGGTCGGCGTTGACATGGACATTTTTAAATAATATTTAAGTAATTTTTGAATTTTTATAATATTTTTGCTCTTTTATTTGTTATTATTTCTTTCTTTTTTTTGCCCTTTTATTTTGGCTAGGGAGGGCTAGCAAGCCCTCGCCTAGTGTAAAAATTAAATAACAAAAAAATGTAAAAATTCAATTTAAAAAAAAATTGCGTCAGTGCCGACCGTACCACGTAGGACGGTCAACATATACATCAACGATTTCTTTGGCCGGATGGACTCAATTGACAAAATAGGAGAAATTCCAAATAAAGGCCTGAAGTGCCTTCATTTTCTCAAATAAGGACCTGAATCGAATAAAGGCATGAAGTGTTATCATTTTCTCAAATAAGGACATGAAGTGGATCTTGCCTCAAATAAGGATATGAAGTGGCCATATTGGTCTCAAATAAGGACTTGACCTCAACAACTAAAGGGTATTTTCGTCTTTTACCTTTTTTTATTTCTATTTTATTTCTTTTCCTTTTCCTTTTTTTCCTCTCTTGGCTGGGGTCAGTGACCTCTGCTGGCCTCAGGTGGAGGTCGCCCTCGCCGGTGTCGGGTGACCCTCGCCTGACATAGGCTGGATGGCTCTTGCCCGACGCCGGCAAGGGTTGCCCTCGCTTGCCTAGCTTAGGTGAGGCAACCTTCACCCGACGCCGGCGAGGGTGGCCTTGCCAATAGAGGTTGTCGGTCAGGCATAGTGATGGCTGGGAGGGAAGAACAAAAAAGCAAAAAAGAAAAAGGAAAAGAAAAGGAAAGTAAAAAAAATAAAAAAATATACTTATAATTTTTCTGACTAAAACGCACTTTTTTTGCGACGGAATAGTCACCGGCCGGCCAAAGGTCTTTATTTGAGACGATTTGGCCACTTTAGACCCTTATTTGAGATAATTTCTCCACTTCAGATCCTTTTTTGAGATAATGTTCACTTCAGGCTTTTATTTGAGAAAATGAGGGCACTTCATGCCCTTATTTGGAATTTTCCCGACAAAATATGCAAAGGTTTAAGACTCAATTGGCTCGAAAGGTTTGTGACTGTATTAATACCAATGCAATAAATTTATGACTTTTTCGGTACTTTTTTCTCTAAACGTGCAAGTAGGTTTTATCTTACCAACTTTACCTTTTCAACATTTTACCCTTTCCCCTCTCCCTATATATGCATCTCATTGTACTTTATTACTACTTTTTAAGTACGCACCTCCACATAGTTATCTTTTATTTGCATTATTTATGCATTAGTGGATCTCAATCTTCATCATTTTTTTTCTTCTTTTTATTTAAACTTTTTGCCCATTTATTTGCATAGCTACATAGCCAATTCTACTCCGAAAAAATCACATTTCTTTTTCCCCATTTATTTGCATAGCTAAAATTTCATAAGCATTTAGAAATCATGTTGAGGTTTGGCATGCATTTCAAATTAAGATATTTGGGAAAACTAACCATGGTATGGTTATGCTTTGGTTTACATTAAGGTTAGCCCTATTTTTAGCATTTTACTTTTTTCTTTAGTTTATTGAGCGTTTTATTGTTGATTATGTATCTGCATGATTACTCTTACATATTATAGGCTTAGGTTTAAAATCAATCAAGTTTGCTTGCAAAACTATTTTTGAAAATAAAGAGAAAAGTATCAAAAATGCGTTAGATTAATCTAGCATAATCAAGTCCTCGAATCTGTTGAATTTATGATTCGTAGAAGTCAAATATTCTCCCAAAATTTACTTGGGTTTTAAGTCTACCCTAATTGATTAATGGCGGCTCCAAAAGGTAAGGAAATTATATTAAAAATTGAGTGCTAAGTTGTGATTGGTAGAGCTTGGGAGTGTCCATGCTAAACGCAAGCAGCTGCCTCTTGAGAGGAACCTTCATTACGTTTAGTAGTCCATTAGCTTTCACTTAGTTGTTTTATCATTGAGAAGGTCGCGACAGCTTGGCAATTCCATTGGAGATTTGAATTAAGCTTAATAGTGGACTTAGGCATGAAGTTTCTCTTTTTCATAAATATTATTCTTTGACAGTATGAAGACAAGGTACACCGCTGACATCAAGTGTTAAGTGTTTGCTAACCTTTATTTTGTAGGGAGATGTTGAGGGATACGATCTTAAAGCGAGACCAAGTAGTAGAGGTTTCCCTTCTCAACCCCGAAAGTTCTTTCTTGGTGTCAAAAGTATATATCCTTGTCCGCGAAATTGCGTGACTAGGATAACCTTTTGACTGAGCAGGAGCTAAAAGGACTCGACTCTTGTACACGAGATTGCGACTTGTCGTACCATCCTCTTGACTCCATTTTGAAGCCTTCTAATTTAGATGTTAAATCTCATGTCTTGTGTGTGTGTCTATGCGATTGTCATTCTTCCTTGGCACAGCAAGTTTCCTACGGACTTTATTAGGTAGAAGAACACTATAAGTGCCAAAAGTTTTCGCCGGCTTACTTAAGTGCCAAATCGGAAAAAAAACAATCACTTAACTGCCAACGGCGAGAAATTCCGGCCAAATTGATTACGTGGCCTTTATAATTAATTTGTTAATATGACTTGGCAAATTTTTTTTTAAAAATATAGTCCATGTGGACTACAAAAACCACGTGGCACAGCCTACGTGGCTCGGACGTCCAAATCAACGTCACACAGCATGCTTTCCATTCCTAGCTCACTAGAACCAGGAAGCGGAAGTTGAAGAGAGAGAGATAGAGATATGATGGCGGCGACCACCATCACTGACGACGGAACCTCTGGCGAGGGCTTGAAGATCGTGTGGAACTAGCCCTAACAAAGGTTCAAGATGGAGTACAGGAAGGCTGGGCTTGGCTTCCCATACATTCATCCCTTGAAGCAAGGCGTGGTATTGGCTTTCCACCTCTGCGTCTCCGCATTCCAACACGCCAAGACCGACTCCATGTCTATTATCCTTGCTTGCTCTCATGTCTCGGTCTGTTTGAAATCCTTTGTCCACTTCCTCTGTTCTTGATTTATCTCCTTGCCATGCCCACTAGGTGTTTGAGGAAATTACTCTGATGATGGAGCTGGGTTTTTTATTTCTTCAGTGTTGCTTAGTTATTAGAAGAATGAAGCTATTCAATGTTCTAGAACACAACGGGGATTTGACGGAGGAAGAAGAAGAAAAGAGCGAGAAGGAATGTGGGGAAGATGATTGTTGAAGAGCTCAATGGGAAGAAGGTTGAACTACAACTGCCCACCTTCCCCTTCTCAATTTCGCAGAGATCACCTTTCGGCGATAGGTGCACCTTCGTTGCGCCACGGCAATACACATTCTCTGCTAATTATCGAAAGCCACAAGAGAAAAATCCAAAGTCTTTTACGAAACAACAATCGAATCGTAGTCACAAACAAATAGCAGCATACTCATTTCAAATAAGACGTAGAGAGAAAGAAACAGAGGGAGGGTGAGAGAGAGATTGGGTGATTGGGTAAGACACGGAGACGGCCAATCCAATGGCCAGCTTAGGGTTTGAAATTGGGATTCTTTTTTAATTTGACGATTTAAGGTTCTTATTTGGGGGAAAGCTACTAGATGACGTTGTTTTATGCTTTAGATGCTGACTGGACTCTCCGGCCGGCGAGTCATATTGGCTTAAGAAACTAATAAAAAAAAAAGCCACGTCGAATTTCCAGTCAAAAGATCGGAGTTGGCACTGAAATGAGCGTTTTTTAAAAAATTTCTGCCCAATTCCAAAAAAAATCCTCAACTTTACACTTTATCCCAAATATATCCTGAAGTTTTTTTTGTCTCAAGAAAAACCGCAAACTTTTATCTAAGTCCCAAATCTGCCCTCCCGTTAAAAATCCGTCCAATTAACGTCGAAAAAAAAAAAAAAAGATAACCGGTAGGCTGCGGCGTGGCCAAGCCTTCGCCGTGGCCGCCACTACCAGTGCCGGGGAAGGAGCGGCCCTCGCCTGGCCTTCCGAAGGCGGCGACCTCGCCACCCGGCGAGCTGCCGCGAGGGCGCGCGGCCCGATTTGGGGCGAGGTCGCGCCCTTCCCCAGATCGAGGGGCTGCGCGCCCTCGCCGGCGGCTCGCCGGGGCCGGCGAGGGTTGCCGGCTCTTCGAGAAGGCCCAGGCGGGCCGACGACCCTCACCGCCCCTGGGCGAGTCGCCGCAGGGCGCGCGCCCCCGATCTGGGGCGAGGTCGCGCCCTCCCCGGATCGGGGGCGCGCACCCGCCGGCGGGCTCGCCCGGGCGGCTAGGGTCGCCGCCTTCGAGAAGGCCCGGCGAGGGCCGTGTGACCCTCGCCGCCCGGCAAGCCGCCGGTGAGTGCGTGCGGCCTCCGATCCGGGGCGAGGGTCGCGCCCTCCCCGTGATCGAGGGTCGCACGCCCGCCGGCGGCTCGCCCGGGCCGAGACTCCTCGCCGGCCCTCGCCGGCCCAGTGCAAGCCGCCGGCGAGGACGCGACCCTCGCCCCGCATCGGGGCTACGCGCCTCACGGCGGCTCGCTCGAGGCCGGCGAGGTCGCCGGCGCTCGGGAAGGCCCAGGCGTGGGCCGCCGCTCCTTCCCGACGGCCGTGGCGGCGGCCACCGGCGAAGGCTTGGCCACCGCCAGCGCCCGCACTGCTTTGTTTTTTTTTTTTCGACGTTAATTGGACAGATTTTTAACGGGAGGGCAGATTTGGGACTTAGATAAAAGTTTGTAATTTTTCTTGAGAAAAAAAAAAGTTCAGGGTATATTTGGGACAAAGTGTAAAGTTGAGGGTTTTTTTTGGAATTGGGCCAAAAAATTTGACACTTAAATGATTCAGAAAAAGCTTTTGGCACTAGAGTGAGCGCTGTACATAATTTTTGGCACTTTCAGTATCCTTCTCCCTACTTTATTATGTAAATTATTTATATTTGTCATATTTTCGCGTCATTTTATGACAAGCAAGTCAATCGTTGTACAATTTGAAAAACACTTTAAATCAATGATTTCAAAGTTCATAATTTCAATGTTTCATAAATTAACAAATTTTCATTGCTGACAAAATAGCCGATTGACCATTGGACAGATCTTTCCAAGTTGTTGTACTTATTGTCAATTTTTCTTAATTCAAGGTATATTGTCACATCAAAAGGACATTGTCGCACTACCAAATTGAAGGAATGGCTTCCTACAGAGAGGATGCTCGGATTACGCACCTTCAATCCCAAATGAATGACTTGCGTGACATGCTACTATTCTGCACGATGGCTTGCACCAACTTGTTGTGGTTCCACCTCCCCCTCTTGGATGGGAGATGATTCAAATGGAGCCCATTAGCGTCAACTTGAAAGGCAAGGTTGTGATAGCAGGTAACTCTTTTACGTTCCCTGATCCAACGAAATTGAACACCTTGCGCCCCAAGTAAATCTATAGTAAATCTTTTCAATGTACCTTTTATTAAGTATTGAGGTCCCAATCTTGGGAGTGCACTTCCTTGGAGAATAAGTTATTCTCCTCACCTTTTTCCATGGTTATTCAGTGTTCCTATCCGTGCTTTTTTCCTTCTTATAGTTTAGTCAATACACTACTACACAGTTTAGAAATTTTTTGATCTCGATGTGTGAATGACTAGGTGAGAATATCTTTTCTTTTGCCTAACCAAGAAAAAACCTATCTTACATGAATTTAAAATTGAGAGAGAGAGAGAGAGAGAGAGAGAGAGAGAGAGAGAGAGAGAGAGAGAGAGAGATGTGTGACGAGGATGTGTTTTGAGTGACAATAAGTTGATAGAAGGCGATCATGGTAAAGATAAAGTTCATCACCAATGGCTAAAAGAATACCACCAGTTAAGGATAAAGGACTTCGAGATGGATAAAGTTCACCATCAAGACCTAAATGAACATCACCAGTAAAAAATATAGAACTTTTGGTTCACCACCAAATAAATTAGATTAACAACCCAAGATAGAAACTCATTCCCTTGATGAAAATTTTATATATTCATCAAATTATCAAGTCTTGTCCGTACAAAATGAGATTGCACCTTTATTTAAAGAGGGACTCTAATTAAGCCAAAAAAAAATATGACTCTTAGAATTCTAAAAAACCACAACAATTCTATGAATCGTTATATGTTTATGACTCTTCAAACTGACAACACACTTAAAATTGTCTTGTAACCGACATTACCATTAAGATGCATAATAAGTAGGATTACATGCATTTAACTAGGACTAGATGCAAATAATTTAAATTAGACTCTCCAAATTCTTCCACCAACCTTGGAAGCCGAAAAACCACTTTAGAAGATCAACCAACATTAAGGAAATCGATCAGAACAACCTCTAATTACTAGATAATCAATTAGGAGTCTCGAAGTTGACAATAAACTTGTAAATTGGTATCATGATAGTTGATTGGCAACCACGAAATCGATAACTAGTCCATTAAATCAACAACTCCTCTATAGAATCGACATCTTCGACCTTGAACCCATCGAATCAAACTATAGCCTAATTTGGCCTTTACTTGCAGGAGTAAGGACCGGTCTTAGTCAATCGCTGAGACCTACGTTGAGCTTGAGAGTTGTTGGGAAAATTACCAAAAAAGTCCTCAACCTATTGCATTTGTGCCAATTCAGTCCTAAACCTTTCAATTTGGCCAATTCAGTCCTAAACCTTTTGCAAACCAGCCAATTCAGTCCTTTTGGCCGGCCGGCGCTGACGTGGCCGCCGGCCGGCTGACGTGGCGCCGGCCGGCGTCCACGTGGCAATATTTTAATATATATTTATTATTATTTTCGAATTTTTTTTCTTTTTTCTTTTTTTTTTCTTTTCCTTCTTCCCCCTGGCCTGTCCGGCCAGGGGGGAGGCTCGCCGGCGAGGGCCCAGCTCCGGCGAGGCGAGCTGGGCCCTCGCCGCCGCTGGGCGAGGGCGGAGCTCGCCCAGCCAAGGCGAGCTCCGCCTCGCCAGATCTGGGCGAGGGCGGAGCTCGCCCAGCCATGGCGAGCTCCGCCTCGCCTAGCTCGGCGAGGGCGGAGCTCGCCCATCCATGGTGAGTGGGCCCCTCGCCGCTCGGCTGGGCGAGCTCCGCCTCGCCCGGCGGCTGCGAGGGCCCAGCTCGCTTAGCGGAGCTGGGCCCTCGCGGCGAGGCCCCCCCTACTGGACAGGCCAGGGGGAGAAGGAAAAGAAAAAAAAAAAGAAAAAAGAAACAAATTCGAAAATAATAATAAAAAATATTAAAATATTGCCACGTGGACGCCGGCCGGCTGACGTGGCGTTGGCCGGCGGCCACGTCAGCGCCGACCGGCCAAAAGGACTGAATTGGCTGGTTTGCAAAAGGTTTAGGGCTGAATTGGCCAAATTGAAAGGTTTAGGACTGAATTGGCACAAATGCAATGGGTTGAGGACTTTTTTGGTAATTTTCCCAGAGTTGTTCGATAAAATAAGATGCTCCCGCATGAGAGAGTGAGTTGGTTTGTCATTCAATTACTCTAAAGCTTCATAGGTCTTGCATTTTCATGTTTAGTTACCAAATTATTGATGTTAAATGCAAAAACACGCACGGGAATTGCAAATCGAATTTAAAATCGCGATGAAGAAAAAGAGCGATAGAAGATCCGATAGAAGTGTTATCATGCAACTGGGCATTTTCAGAACTTTGGGTACTAGAAACAAGCCGATTCAGAAGGCTCACCAGGGAATCAAATCGACTTAAAAAGGGAGACTGGATTTTGTAAACGCTTATCCTTCAAACAAGTTCTAACATGTTCCGTTTCACGCTCTAGCTTTAGGACCAAATAGTTTTGATCACACTGGAGAGAATTTTTATTGTAAACTACCACGTCACCAGCCCAAATGGCGTGCATGAGCCTACTCAGCTCCACTCAAAGGGCGACACGTGCCTTTGACATGAACTGGTTGGAAAATAAAAAATTAAAATCGGAGGCTTTCTTTTCTCTCTCCAATAGGTCGCCTCCACCTCCGCCGTCGCTTCCGCAGACCCGTTGGCGGCTATGATTCATCAGCTGACTCCTCTCTCTCTCTCACACACACACCCACACATGCATGCACGCATGATCACGTTGACATGCCATAGGTGGTGCCAGACACCCGGCTATTTCTGACGCAGCAATCGAGCACAAGGTCCACGCTTCGTCGATTTCTTGGGGAACCTTAGTGACGTCTACCATCGCAGCACCATCTCTCTCAGCCTTGGCAACTTCTGGGCCTCCGTCCGATTGCGTCCCTCCAAAGAGCTCGTCATCAC